CAAAAGATAAGAGTGATAAAAATGATAAAGAGTCTGGAATGTTTCCAAGTGGTCTATTTTCAGGGTTTCCTAACATGAATGACTACTTTAATGGCAAAGATAATAACAATAATGACAAAAAAGAAGATACTAATGCGGATGATGCACCAGGTTATACACAAATGGCGAAAGATGCGTTACAAAGTGACACAACTAAAGAACTTATAAAAACTGGAATCAGTCTATTTGTACCTGGAGGATCAGGAATTGTAACGGCAATGGAAGCTGGTTCAAAATTAGGTTCAATGACTGACAAATTTAAAAAACCGTGAAAATTTTAATAATAGTAATTTTTATTATTATTTCTTATCGAGTTTCAGATATTTTTAATTTAAATTTTAAAAGCCATACAAGAAAATGAGAATGAATAATTAATAGTTGATTAATTTAAATACATTTTCATGTGTTTATAAGCATTACACTATACAGTAAATAATATTAATTTAGATGGTGAAATATTTTTATTTATAATTTAATCGTTAATAAACAAATATTTTTCCTACTATATTGATAAATCAGCAATATAAATTATTAGAAATACTTAGACATCTTTGTATTTACAACATTTGCATTGTATTATAATAATTTAATAATATATTCAAATAAAAAAATATTTAGTTAGCCATATACTTAGTTAAAAAAAAAACTAACTCCTTGAATCTGAATATAAAACATGTATACAACTGAGAAGTAGTACTACATACTAAATTTAATATGATAAAAATAAATTTTATATTTTTATGCTACCTATATGAAAATAATGGTCTCACTAAACAAAAATTGTTTTAGTATTTAATGATACTGCTATCGAAAAGATCAAAGATAGATTAAAGCACTCATTCATTAGTAAATATTTCTATAGACCAATTATTAAAAATAAAATACTTTTATTAACTTATAAAACAAACAAAAATATCTGATAGTTATTCATAAATTTCAAAAAAACCAATAAGTACTTCAAAAAATATGTGCCATAAAGCACAATAATTTTTATCATACTTCCAAATTAAAAAAGTCTCAAACGTTTAACGTCTGTTTAATTTATTTTATTTTCCTATTATATTACTCATAAATTTTCTATTGAGTATTTTATCTTTGTGATTTATTTTTAACCATAACTTTTTATTCTAAGCAGAGTGAGAAATAGTGTAGAATTTATAAGCCTTACAATGTTTTAAGTGTGATTTTATTATTTATTTATTTTTTTATGTCTCTCATCTATTTCTTTAATCTTCTACATTAAGGGTGATTTATAGTTTATATACACATCGGGGAATCAAAAATAGCATATTTCTAAAACATAATTGCTATCATAATAATTTGAAAAAATTAAAATTAAGTATAGTGGCAAACAAAAATATTTACTCAATGATAATTATTTATCAAATTAAATTATTATTATTTATTTATTTTTGTAACTGAAATAAATAACTATAGAGACTTGAAATTTTCAAAAAATATTTACACTAGTATTTCTTAAACTTCAAGTATAATTTACACAATACTTTGACTCTTTTTTATTTATATTCATAACTAGTAGTCTACATAGACAATTATTTTTTTTTTAATTTTCGTACAATGTATGCTTATAAATGTTTATTTCTCAGCAAAAAAGCTCTAAAATAACCAAAGTGTCTCATAAGTTTTTCGCAAGTCTTACTCCTATTATTATTATTATTATTATTATTATTATTATTATTATTATTTTTTATTTTATTTTTTTTATAGAAACAATTTAAAATTCAATGTTTATACTTATGTATATTTGAGCAAAAAATAGGAAACAATAACATTTTTTATACAAAAACTTTTAGTTATTTTATTATGATTGAAAAAATATAAATTATGGATTTATGAATATGGGCTTCATTGCATATTATTTACATAATATATTATAATTTTGTACACACCGTAATTTTTTAAAAATATTTAGACTTATTTAAAACAATCTATTCCATGGAACATTAATAATGACTAATACGTATTACTATTGGTAAAAATTAATTTAACGTACTATGTTAAGAAATCACCAACTAATAACAATGATCCAGTTTAATACAATATATTCTTATAAACATTGAGGCTAGTACCATCTAACTTATCCTTACCTCAGAACCTATTTTTCATATTTACGTAGGCTGTCCGATAAATAAGGTACAAAGTTATTTTTGGCGTAAACAATAGACGATATCGGCTTGAAATTTCCAGCATTGATAATATATGTAACAAACGACGTATTCTATGCATCATGACTATTTTACTTTAGTGTTCCGTCGAATACGTAAGTTTAAACATGGAAAACCAATATTTAAGTTTCACAAAAGAAGAAGTTCGCGCCATCATTCGGTTTTTTAATTTTCAAAATGTTTCTCCGACTGAAATTCATAGAAAATTAACCAAAGTTTATGGCCCGCACGTAATGTCTCGAAAAAGTGTATCGGTCTGGTGTACAAAATTTAATTCAGGTCGAGAAAGTGTTGAAGATGAAGCAAGAAATGGTCGACAATAAGCACGTCCACCGCCGAAACCATTGAGGCGGTCGAAAAATTGTTACGATCGGATAGACGACTTAAAATTAGGGAAATGGCTACACAACTTGATCTACCAAAGACCACTGTACATGAAATTGTCCATGAGAAATTAAATTTTCGTAAGGTTTGTTCACGTTGGGTTCCGAAAATGCTTACACCAGACCCCACATTCAGCGGGAAAGACTAAAGCTTGGCTAGAAAAGTACAAGTGGGAATTATTGCAACATCCACCATATAGTCCTGATCTGGCACCTTCAGTTTTTTTTTTTTTGTTCGGTCCGTTAAAAAAAAACACTTAGGAGGAACTCATTTTCAAAATGAAGAGGAGGTAATGAACTCAATTACAGAGTACTTCGATGAAAAATGTGCTGCATATTTCCGAGATAGCATTTTCAAATTATTCCATCGTTGGGAAAAATGCATCAATTTAAATGGTGACTATATAGAAAAATAGCAAAATATGTCTAATTTATTGTGTAGAAGTTTTAAAGTAATAAATTCATTTTTCATTATTCGGTATATTTTTGTACCTTATTTATCGGACAGCCTACGTAATAATTTATCATTAGACGGGATGCTACCCAAATATGTTGTCTCCACTTATAAACTTATCAATTCGATAACGATAAAATAAATTTACATGTTCAGTAACAAACAGAACTAATTTTATAGTTTTAGCTTTAATATTAAAGTGAATTGATGTATTATTAAATTTAAATGTAAGTATGTATTTCGTATTCTGTTTTAATGTGAAAATCTGAAGCTGTTTATGAACATTTTAAAATTATAATATTTTAATTATTATTTCACATAAAGCTTAAACTCACTTTAAAATTAAAATATAGATCAAACCCTACAAGGTGCCATTAACAATATTATTAAACCATTTTAATTGGTTGGTTTAAGTTTCCATAGTTAAGCATATAGATTTCATACAATAAGCCCATACCAATGTACGATATGGTGTTTCAACCAGCACTTGTTGCTGGATTTCTTTAAAGAGTCATTACAAAATATTTTATACAATACACGGTTTTGATATTGCGATTGACGTCAAACTCAAGAATTCTAAGTAAATTTAGAACAAACATCATTAACATATATATTCATAAACAATTTAGATTAAATTAAATTAATTAATAAGAATCAATCAAACCAATACGTAACAATAGAGACACATTTTGTGTTCCTGTAAGTTATAATTTTATCAAGTACTTGATAATTTAATTGAAGTCACTGTATGCAATGTAGATGGACTACTATTGGTTAGATTTCCATCACATTCATGATAATAGATATTATTATATTAGTAATTCATTTAGTGAATATTGAATAAATAACAACAATAAATATAATTTAATAAATTGCTTTTTATTTTCGTTTAAAATATAATAACATGTTTAGATTTTAAAAATCGTAAAGTTATTGATATTCATTATAAATTAATATCGACATATTAAATTCGAATATATTTTACTTAAAATATAATTGAATACAAAAATATTATTTTTATATCTCTTTCCAATCATCGAATTACTATAATCTAATAGTATTTATATGAATATAAAATACACCTTAAAAATTAAAGTTCTATAAAACAACTATAGGTAACATATGTGTTCTCAAAAGAGATAATATCAACAAAAAAAAAAAAAAATAGGTATAAAATAGAAAAAGTTAAAGAGACATAAATTCATTGAGAACCGATTTTATATTACTTGAAATTTAATTTATTATAAATGTATAACGGACTAACTGTTGCATTTTTATTTAAATTCACAACTAAAAAGCCCGTATAGTAATCAAATCATAAATATATTTATTTATTTTTCATAAAATAAATATACATATCTATGTAAATACTATTATAAATTATAATGGCTCTTTTTTATTAAATAAATAAATATTAAAAATTATGACAACATCGAGGTGAAGACTTAGTTTGTGGTTTACAAAAAACGCGCAAATGAATTAAAACCGTGCTTTTTTTAAAACACCTTGCCCTTCATAGTGGTACCATTAAAACTTAATATGATAATAATATTATAAAACTCATTAAATCTAGTCCCATATAATATTGCTACCATTGAAAGATTTTTATTTTTTGATTATTATTATTAATATTATTATTCTATGAGTTCCAATAAATATGTAGAATATCGTATTCAGTTTACTGCTCGAGTGATAAACAACTTCATAAGCCGTTTTTGATTGATGTCTCCATTACTTTTTCAATCCATACGTATTCCAATCTGAAAACATATATATGTATACGTAAGTATAAGACCGTATAATTTTATAATAATAACTGCTATAGCCTGAAGGCCACCTAACAGTGAACTTAATCTGACCCATAGACTAGAAATTTGTTTTTAACAATATTTTTAATAATGGTGAAAATCGGGTTTTCACTAATTGTAATTATTTATTTTGATTTTATCTTTGCTTTCTTTGGGTAAATATATAATTACATTGTACAGATCCCCCTCTGAAAATTTCGAAAATTCCTAAAGTAGTCCCCCAAAAATATAAATTAGTAATACTAAAGCTTGTAATTTGTATGAAAGAGCACAAACCTGCAATGTAGCTCTGGAGATCTTGCAACACAGGGTACCAATCGGCGCTCGAATAGTTCAACTTGGGTTTCTTGCCACCATAGTCTCCGGGGAGCATGTTAACGTCCAAGTACTTATGCAAAGACGACATTTTATTTCCGTGGAAAAACAACTGTAAATCATGATAAAAAACAAACGATTAGATATTTCAAAACAGAAATTAATGGTAAAAAATTAATTAATTAATCTACTGAAATATCAGTAACTTTATATACCACGAAATGTATTTTAATAGTCCTAATATCGAGCGCACACAACAAATGAATATAATTAGTGTTGTGCGCAATATTATTTCAAAAAATCATAAATCATGTGAATACTATACGTACACGTTTCTTGAGTTTTTCACCGACAAATTGTTTGAACATTGGCCACACCATGTTAAACAAGAATGGTTGACGAACAATATGTACTTCCTTCATACGAAGTGGCATGGCTTCCTATATTTACGAATACGAATATTATATAAAATACACAGTCATAAACAACAAAATATAAAAAATTAATAGAAGTATTTTTGTGTTGAATTACTGCAGAAAATACAAATTACATTTTTATTCGGTTTTGTTTATCAATAGTGCGATTATATATTATTTAATCAGTTCTATTGGATTTAAAGTTCATATTTATTATTATTATTTTTTTTTTCGAATTATAGTTGACGTAAACATAATAATAATATTACAATTTTGTGCTTATATAACTATTGTAATACTCTTCATTATTTAAATTTTAAAATATAAAATTATTAATAAACATTATCACCAAAAAGCTTATACATCTAATGAAATGCAATTATCAATTGACGTTAAAACAATACGGCGATATTGAACTTTTAATCGTAACGCATTTCTATTATATTAAACGCATATATCGAGACCATGCCTATGCCTACAAACCTTACTTATGTAATTATATCAGTATTTTCACGGTAGAGCGTTATAGTTTATAACAATATCGTAATAAATTATGATAGTTGCATGTGTCCACATTGAAAACGACAATTTATGACGAAATTACAACGCATAAAATATAGTTAAAGAAAAACAAATCTTTAATGTCTCTTACACAGGTTACATTGGTTGAAAATGTTTTTATGTCTGACTTTACGCGATAACCAATAGTTTCCGCCCACAACTTATTACGAATAGAAAGCCTTTACGACGCACTATCTATATAATAATAATACGCATAGACCGATAAGTAATAGCTATATGTCAGGGGCAAAACATCATCAAGTCCAAACAGCGCACATTCGAGCACGCCTTGAGTACGATAGTGTATTATTATGATATTATGTTATTTATTTTATTATAGGCATTTTTTTTTTGTTCTGCTAGCGAAATACGACTTTTTGGACTTTGAGCTTGACGGTAGAGAACGAGATTCCGATTTACCTACATACTTAGAGCTGTATAAATTTCTTTTTGTAAAGTAATTAGCGCGTTTTTTTGCCGTCGGATGTGCTTACTTGGATGTAAAGAAGCAATGTCATTGCAAATGACGGTGACATGGCCATGACCTGTTTGGTGGACAGCCCGTGGAAATCGATGATAATGACAGCACCACGGACTTGAGTCTCTTCTTCCACCAATGATGCGATTTGGATCAGGTAAAGGACTTTGAACAACTGTTCGCTGTTAAGATTTTTCGGGTCCCAAGCAGCTAAACAATTTTAGAACCAATTTTAGAATCAACTTCAATATTGTGTATAAAATTAAAATACAAAAAAAAACCAATTTTTAAATGACAACAGATCTTTGGATAATATCGTACATACAAAAGTAATTACAACAATGATTTTTATTCGATAACAATAACATCAATAGATAATATACTAATATAAAAAATGTATATAGTATATTATATCTTTGATTGACGAAATATATGCCATGATAAAATTATTGTAATCTACAGTTGTATGTTTTATGATGAAATGGTCGGCAGTGCTAATCTCCACACAGCCATACTGATCGCTTTGCTACACATTATCATAGAGTTAATATTATTATTATACCAACTAACAACTAATATCTTCCATCCTGCACCCACCCACCGACCTGATATTGAGAGATCAGCTGTGATTGGGTCATCGTAATAATAATATTATTATTATTATTGTCTAGTAGCTCTATTACAGAACAATATGACGTTCAACTGGAAAACCTCGTGTATCCGATATTACGGTGCACCACAATCGTGTAGTTTATTTGGAAACTATTGAAAAATGCATAAAATGCTCAAACGCTCTATACGCCGGTACGATGCGTACGAAATAAATATCTAAGCTTTCCGACGAAATCGTCTATTATGAATGTCAAACATCATCAATAACGCATATTTCAATCGGCACCGAGTCGGCGCACGACGAGAAGGAAAAACAAAAATAATATTACGTGCAAATCATCCAAAGTACAATATTTCTACTGCTTCAGAAAAAATCCACAATAACGTCTTAGATTCTATGGCGATTACTTATAGTAAGTTGGTTTGTGTTCATGTTTTGTCAACAGATCACATTTAATGCGTGGGAAACGCGATCACTGAGCTTTTGTGTTTTTTGTAGTCCGATAAGATAATAATATATTATGTATTAAATAAATTCACAAAAAATCAACTGAAAACTTAATCTCGTTCGTTTTTATTTCCTTCGTAAAATACTCACATCCCGCTTACCGATTGTGAAACGTATTTTAATTAAACAGTTATCGAATTAGATAATTTAAATATGAAGCGTGAATATCGCCGTCCAAATGAATATAACGAAACAATAAAAAGATGAATATTTTCAAACTAGAATTTTATGTTGATATGTTTTTTATATAATGTAGTAACACAACATTCGTAAAATAATGAACATATAATATTTAAAATCAAGTAATACTTACATCCCATGTTTATGATTAAGACCCTCCTGTTCTTTTGATCTCTGTCGACGAGTACATTGACAACGTTATTCTCAGTGAACAATTTCTTCTCTTCTCTTGGCAAAGGGTTACCGACAATTTTTTCATTTTTGTCTCTAAACGTAGCTAAACGCTTCATCTATGATAAGCCAAAATCATATACGTTATAATGTTATCGTGTTCACGTTTCATTATCCGAATTGTTATCGTTGTTTTACAAAAATATTAGCGACGATAATGTCGTTACGCGAAATTTGTTGACCGTAAAAAGTACACCGCGTGAATCGGTTCAATAACACAAACAAATGGGTAATCATTTCACAGCTAATGCAAAATGTCTAATATAATATCAAATACGATAATTATTATCTTTTTACGTTATCTTTGTTGTTTATATTTATGCCGCATCCTACGCACTTTACAGGGCCAATTATTGATAATCAACTTTTAGCTAGCCGTAGTAATCAAGACGTAATTGGTGTTCGATTCCGATAGCTTTTAATTAATTATCATTTCATTAAGTTTTTGAGTTATAGATCATCAGCAAACGAATTCGCTAACACGTTAATTATCAAATCGAATCTGACTGGTTCATTTATATTAAAATATAGTCGTAATCGGGCAACGTATACCTAAGGTGATATTAATAAAAATATAATATTAAATAGCACGTGCTAAAATGTGTTCGGTCAGCGTATCCAACGATTTAATCGAAATAATATTTCGTAAGAGCGGACGCGTTTGATAGATTCACGCAGGAAATACGAATTGCTAATAAAATATTGAATTGTGATTTGTAACATAGATCGGTGATTAATGACTGCAGTGATGGTTTGTGAAGTCGAATTTTCTTGGCTAGCGTTTGAATTTTTTTGAGAAAACAAAATTGCTATGTCGCTACAGTTGTATGATAATAATTCATTTTTCGGCAAACCAAGCACAAATATATAATGAATTTTTATTGTTGCACAAGTACTGCTATATAATAACGCGTGGGAATTTACAGTTTTACAGTATATATCATATTATAAACATGTAAGCATGCACGGGAAAAATCGATTATATTTTTTGTATAAATATTATACGTATTACAAAGGACTCTGATGCGTATAAAAATGTTGATAAAATGTCGTTATCGGCTCGAGATATTGACATTTAAATTTGTCCGTGGTAAGAAATAATTGCATAGACGTGAAAAGTCTTACCGAATTGCCGATTGAAAATCGAGGAGCGCAATCGTGACACGGACAATATTTTTTATTGAATTGAATTATATTTATTATTATTTTGATGATAATATTATTAAATTATAACTTATAAAGTAGACGTGAATTTTCTTACCAAATTGTATGCACTCTCGGCGTAGAAATGGGTTGGTCTTAAGAATATCGTCAAATATTCGTCGGTGTCTTTGTACGTCAACTCATTCCTTTCTGTAAAGTACGGAAAAAAACAACAATTACTATCACCGATTTGCAATTTTAAGACAATATAGTAATAGCGTTATATAAATATTGATATTTTAATATCATAGAACAATAATACATTGATTTATCGATTAAAGTTGATGTTTTATCATAACAACAATTATGAGAGGACAACGGAACAACTGTAATGTATTATTATATTGTACAAACGTAATAATAATATTAAGTAGGGTATAGGTAAATTAGGATAGTCGCACATTCGCGAACTATTGTTGTGTATTCGTATTGCACGTCATAAAAAAAAAAACGTATCACAACGATTAGATTTTGTATTACTTTCAATCGTCGTTTTGCGACGTTTTTAAAAAAAAAAATGAGTGTAATAATAAAATCTTTAATGTTATAATAATTCGTTGCTAATTTCTAATAATATCGGTAAGCGATTTAGCCACGTGCGTAATGTCTAAATAATCTAAAAGCCTATATATTTGTAATAGGTATGATACTCTGCAACTCGAGACACTAATTAATTTTCATATCGACTGTAAACGATGTATTGATAGATATATATACAATTATATTATACGATTGACTCGTCAGTTTTAGCTGATGCTGATAGCGTGCGATCTGTACTGAGATTATTTCTACGATCGAAGCAAGTCATTTGGGATAGAGTTATTTGATTTTTAATGCATTTAAATCGCACATGCTAAAAACGTGAAAGAATATAAAGTTATTTATTATATTAGTTTTTATGCGTTTCAAGGATAATTAATCCAAACCAACCAATAAGTACATTATACAAACGATTACTTATGCTCATTTTTATTATCACGAAATTTTGTTTTTTTTTTTTGAATATCTATTATGGTGCCCTTCAAAAATGATTGTGCAACAAAATATTTATTATCTGTTCGTACGACGATTGAAACATTTTTAGTGCGGTACGTCAATAAAATAAATAATACAAATTTATCATATCATTAGATTATTCTGTTTAGTTAAATACACCCGTAGTGTAAGAGATAAAGAAATAAGTTAATTATTACAACAAAGTAAGTAAAATATTATACAGAGTGATCGGTTGGATCGACATCTCGAGGAGTCATATTTGTTTATAGAGTGATATTTCCTTCCGCATTCTACGCCAGACAATTTCGGAAACAACAGTACTGCCCCGTTCTATACTTATACTGGCAATGTTATGTTGAAACTATGTACAGGTGAATATTAACAGAAGCGCGATCATACATTGACCACTTCAGATTTGGGAAAGTGGAAAAAAATATTACATGTTATAATATTATTTTCAAAGGTGAAAATTTTGTGATTTGGCTACTGAAGTATATATAATATACACCATCGATTTAATATAATGATGGTATTCACGTGGTGCTCGGGTATAGGTAAGGTACCTATTTTATAAGTATATCATATAATGTTATGTGATGCATACGATTTCTAATTTGAAATGGGTAACCTGTGGTCATTCATCAAGTTAATTAAAACAGAGTTTAATGATGATGTAACATATAACATAATTATATGATATGCATAGATAAAAATAAAGTATTCGATTTGAACATTTGAACTTTTTTAAATAAAAAAAAAAAAAAAATAATAACCAAAATTAATCGTCTAAATATTATTATTTTGTAAGGATTACATTTTTTGAAAATAAAAGATGATTTTCGCTGAAACTAAAAAATCAGTTCCCATTTTATTTTATTTTTTATTTTAATATATCAAATATTAATATTTACAAACGTTGGAACAATGCGATACTAATTTATTATTTTTCAACTATAAAACGGTACCATTTATTTGTACCACAATCATTTTGACAAAACAAAGGCGTAGATAAATTTCAGCCTTGATCGTTCATCGCATTATCATAATAATAATGTTATTATATTTTAACTCGTAAGTATAAGAAACCAAACGGTTGGATCGATTTCGTTTCCAATCAATGTACAAACATACAATTGTCGGAATAAATTAACATTTATCCATCGCACGGTTGTATTGAGAACAAACACACGACATTGGAAAAAAAAAGTATTTTTTTCACGGTGGTTCCTAATAGTTTATTATTATTTAAAATCATATTGTCTCTATAACATCAAGTTTATAGATGGTAAAAAATAGGGTTATTGATTAGGGTTATTGGTTACCTAACCAATCGTTTCGATGTGTGACTATGGAAAGCAACGGAGCGCGCAATAGATAAATGGAACTGGAATTCAAATTTAATTTCTACGGAGTAATGATAAAAAATTTAAAAAAATAATCCGTATTTGCACCATTTTTCTCCACTCAAAATCTAAAAACTGTAGAAAAGTATACCCATACCAGAGCTGGTTAAAATGATCGAAACCGCACACAGATCGTTTTCTACTTCTACCCACCGACCCACAATCGTTTTGAAAATGGCGGTCTTGGTCACGGTGACGAAACGAGGCCAAAGTAACCAACGCCGACACGTTACGCACCAGACATATTACATCATACGCTTACCTTCGAGCAACTGGCGGAGTTCGGCCAACGACTTCTGCGCCTGTTCCGGGGTTTCACGGATTTCGCGTTCGGCTAGCGCACACGTCTCCGCGCACAGCGGCGATGTGTCCAAACCGAAAGCGGCGAGCATCTTCATGGACGGCTTTCTGCACTCGTCCAACGATAGAATCTTGTTCGACGACATACTGGATTTCAACATTGTTAACTGCTGGTTATTAGCGATCAAACGGTAGACAAGACTTCGGGAAAGCGCGTGATGGCGGTGTCGACGTGAATAATAATTGTATATTCTTATATATGTCTCCTGTTGGTCGGTGAAACCGGCGCGGATTCGATAGTTTAAACTGTTAATGTCGATCTGTCGAAATATTTAGGATGTCGGCGACTGAGTAGTGCACCGCCGGAACGACTACTGAACTTCGAAAGCACAATACGGATGCGAAATAATATATGCACTGTTGTTCGAACGAGCGTTGCGACACCAATGCAGCAAATGTGTAATATTATACCTGATATAGTATATTATTATATTCGTTAGCACAGTACACCTGAACTGATTACACTGATCCTACAGGCTTCTGACTAATTTCCGATGCGTTTGCTGCTAATTTAAATACTAGCCAGGAATCGCTATCAGACACACGGCGCGCGCGTCTGCCGCAACGATCCCTACCACCGACACCACAACAGACAACGGCGGTCCTTATCAGCAACATCATTGCGCGGTTCGCACGTCACGACGTGCGTGCGTCTCATGCCCGCGTCCCGAGACATCGGTCTTTGTCCGGTTTCGACAGTTTTTGTTTTGTTTTTTTTTTTTTTTTGGATTTATTGATTTTGTTTTTTCAATCCAATATTATTTCGTGATTGATTGGTTTATTTTTTTATATTCAATGACGGTGTTGCGTATGTAATACATAGATTATTATTATTATAATTATTATTATTATTTTTTTTTTTTTACTATCATTATTATATTGTAATGACCATCACCGATTATTAGAGATAACACGCGTATCTCGATGCCATCATTCTCGACCGAACGGTGATGCACAATAATAAAATACGACTTTTTTAGGGACTTTACCCTTTACACCCGCCTAGTTTATTGTGCCATTTGTTGTTTGCGCCATTAGTACACTCGTGTAAATGTGCAGACGTTATGCGCGGTGACGCGTTATAAAAAATAATAATATGACACCTCAGTTAAAACGAAAAACGAATTTTGACTGACGTGCGCGCTGTACGTGTCTACTTGGCGGTGCGTTATTTAGAGCCACGCAACGACGGAAATAAATAACGGTCGTCTCCACGATCGAGTACGATCCATGAAATATATCTTTAAACAGTTCTTGGAACCGCAATCGAAAGTACATCTTCTGAAGCCGAAACCCTCAGTGAAAAAAACTTTTAACCTGGTCGGAACATTTAATAATTCATCTCTGGACTAATGTATACCGAAATCGAAACCGGTCCCACGATAGGTTTTCCGGCGCTCGTTTTTACAATTTCTTTAAGCTAGATTTAATTTTATGGATTTAATTAAATATTTGAACCAAAAAATAAAAAATAAAATAAAATAAAATTGTTTAATAAGATATAAATATGATATTACTTTAATAGGTCGTTTTATAACTTTTCTATATTAAAAAAAAATATTGGAAAGAGTTGATTAACACCGTGAAACAGTTTTATTGTCCTTACATTATTTGATACAAATTACCTAAGTATTTCCATGATAACTATTTATTTACTTTTCATTCCTTATATTTGTACTTTAAAAATCAATTATATTCTTTTTTATTACCAATAGGTCATGTAAGTTTGAATTAAAACTTAAAACACAAAACACTTCTCTTTTTCTTTAATCATAAGAATTTATACCTTCTAGATTAAAACCCGAAAAATTTAATTTTGTAAATTTTCTCTAAAACTAGAACAAAAAAATAGTACTAAGATTCCAAATACTACCTACGAATCCCTGTGTCATTTCCAATTTCTTAGTAGGTATTTTTCAAATTCGACGCTTTCGATAGGTAATATGTACCAGATGTTATAATATTATAATACCTCCCATTGGAAAGTACAAAACTGGTTTATGGGTTAGTGCCGCTCAGAAGCAATAACATATATTCTAAATACCTCCGATCAGCTAATACACTTAATATGCTTTTTAATCTATTTTTTTAGTAAATTAACTACCTAAAATGTCTTTTTTCCTATTTATTTTTAATTTAACACAACCTTTAAATGAAATCTATATATACAATTTTTAGTAAAATATTGAAAATTCTGAATTAATAAAAAAAAAAAAAAATAGCTTAAAACTAAATATCAATAATGCATTTGAGAAGAAAACAAAAGAGCTTTCCTTAGAGCTTTTTTTAAACCATCATGCATGTTTTATAAATAATATAAATACAGTAATTAATAATAGCATAAAAATAACTTTCTTAAAAACACAATTAATTATTTAATAAACGTGTAACATTTTAAATAGTCTTTAAATAAGAATATTACTATAATTATTGGTTGATACAAAAGATTAATTTAAATTTAAATAAAAAATGCCCTAATTCTCTTGATTTAAGCATAGTATATCATTTCTAAATACGAGTAAAACAAAACTAAATTTAAAATCATTTCTTTTTGAAATTAATTTACTTATTATTATATTATATTATAATTATTAAAGTCATCTACTCATAAAATATGATAAATAATTAGTTTTTGTACCAACTGTAATTTTTAGACCCAAATGAATGTTACTAATCGTTTGACCCTCATATTATAAAATTTATAAAGAAAACAAACATCTGAATGCTCTTACGGATTTTTTCAACACTTGAATTTCAAACGAGATTGTAAATATTTAAAGTGCATATCCATTTTTTAAATTATTATGAACTGTCTTCATAAAAGGTGTACTCGTAAATATTTTAACTATAACTCTGGATTCATGATATTAAGAGTTCACGAACGCTGTTATTGCTTCATTATGCACAAATAAACGGAAGTAACAATATACACATTCTTTTTTTATATTAAACTTATTTTAAAATGTAGCTACTTGATAAATAAATACACAAGCATCATACATTTGAAATTTTATTTTAGCTATTTTTATTAAAAATATAATGCGTATATTGTACATATCTAAATTTCTTACTATACATGCTTTTTATATGAAAGTGAGTAAAAATTATTTATTGTCCTATACTAATAAATCCTCGTTTAACGCACAATTAATTATTATTAAGATGTTTGAATATTAACTACCTAATTTTAAAATAATAAAATATGAAATAATATTCAATCACCATTATAAATAATTGATTAAAATTATTCTCATTGGTCACATTAACAAACACTATTTATTAGCAACACGAAACCATTTCCCGTTTTTTAAACTTTATATTCATACTATTCAATAAAGTGAGTCGAGATTTATTTAAGCTTTGAAGATAACATACGAGTAAGTATCTCAGCCGTTAAAAATAAATAGTGACATCAATTTCAGATATTTATTTTTGACATATTATTTCCATAAATGTATTACGCACAATTGGTAAAATATGCTACGAAATATGATTCTCGAAAGTCATACATAAACCAATATATTTTATCGGGTATATTATACATTTAGATTAGCTTGATTTTTGTTAAACACTTAATAAAAGCCTCAATAATCATTAATATATACACATATATTTGGCAGAGCATAATAATATAAATTTGGAAAAGCGTATTATCTTGACAATCGACCAAAGTAATTAAAATTGCATGAAAAATTATACTTCCTCAGAAATGCTCTGTTCTATTGTAAATATATTAATTAAAAAATAAATTATTTTAACATAACAACCGTTAAAATATTGTTAAAGGGAAGAATACTGAATATGTCTCTTTTATGCATAGTATATCAAAGAGCAAAATATTCTCTTCTCGGTATATAAATTATAATTAAAGTTAATTGTAAGTTCACATTGTATAGTACATTGTTGAATTTGATTATAAGACATTAATAAAATTTCAAATAATTTCATAATGAATTCCTATATCTATATAACTACATGAATACATACAGAATACTATGCAAATTTTTTATGTTTTAAATATTTTGACTAATTTTGAGTAATTTAAAAGATATAATTTTATAAATCATAAGCCATAACTCTATGGTAATAACAGTATTTTTATAATTAAATTTTCTACTAATTAACTAGGAATAAATTAACGAGGAAACAAAATAAAATAATTAATACTTATTAGATAATAAATTGACAATTTATAGTTAATTTAACTATAAAATTCACATCTTTGTTCTTTTCTTTCAATAATAAGAACTAATATATTTACACTATTTAATTTTTATGCTTTCTTAATCCTTTTAATTCAAAGTTAAATGATAAATTATTATAACTTCATTCAAATCTTTATCGTTTACGTTAAAATTAAAAAATATGTTCAAGTGATTTATTATTTAAGTATTTAAATATAAATATAAAACCGGATTATGAATTTTGTAGATTAAATTAATAATTATCATATTATTATTTACCGTGAAATAATAACATTAATAATAACACAATATCTGATGTCATATTGTTATTATTATTATTATTATTATTATTGTAATAATACATATTTTAAATCATTATTTATTATAACATATTAAAATACCTATTTTAATTTTCCGAATTATAATGATCTGAAAAATAATGCATATATCTATTACTAATGCTATTTACTTATAATTAATTATATTATTTAATTACACATGAATTAATCTTGAATTTTTTATAACGATATTATAAAGAGTTATAGGTTATTTATTATTGATTTGTAGAAAATAAAGAAACTAATAATTTGTTTGATTTAAGTTGCATATAAAACTGGCTGATATTAACTGGTTCAAGATAAAAAAAAATTCATCTATATTTCATGCACCTATTTACATTTTATCTTTATAGTTTAAGTATCAATTATGAGGTTACCACCAATAAAATTTACATCATTGAACATTTTTAAATTAAATTAATTGACGGAGATCGGTTTCATTAGTACATATGGGAGAGTTAATTGATTGGTTTTTTTTTTTTTTGAAGGTACGGAAGTTTTATTTACACTTTCTAGAAGTTAATGTTTTTATTATAATTTAGTTTATTTCCAGCATTCTAGAAATAAACGTAGCTTATGGTGAATATCAGCTCGGTTTGGAGACAGAAAAAGCAATTTTTTGGAATCTAGCCAGACTACATTTTTATATACTTTTTACTTTAGGTATTATTATTTTTATGTTGCTGCATCTGAATTACATACCAAAACTCAAATTTAGGTCGAGTTACATGTGAGCTGTTTGTATTAAGAACAATTATATTGCATGCATAACGTTTATATTATTATAGATACACTACAATTAAAAATGTTCTTTCATATTTTTTCATACCTAAGACTTATGTCAACTAAGTAAAATATATTTTTACTGGTAAATTATTTAAACTAACGATAAGGCAATATTGGTAATACTGTATAGTTTAATCAAGATTACTAAAAAATTAATAAAGTCAACCTTTATGGATTGTATTAG